AAACAGCATTTGATATTTTATTTAATTTCACTAATTTAATCAATGATTTGTTTGACATTTGTAGTCCAAACAAATCAATATAGTCATGGAAATCTATCATGTCTTCTCTGTTCCTTGATGGACTGTATACATGTTTGCAAAAGGAGATATATATATTTTTAAAAAGAAAGTACAAATCATTCTGCTTCTGATATTTATCTCAGTGGCACTTCTGATGCAGATGAAGCAAATTAGTATCTCTCCCAATGAAAGTGAAGGTCTGTTCACTGTGTCTTTCACATTTGCAACTTCTCAGGGGTGATTTCCAATTGCAGAATTCTTTCTTCATAATGGCAGTACTTAAGCAATAGCAATCAGAGTAGTTAAGTGTCTAGATAAATACATAAATTGACATGCTGTGTATTTGTTCATGTAAATAAAAAATGCAGTAGAGCGCATACTAATGATTGTGATATACCTTTAACTAAACACAGAATCAATTAGACTAAATTGATTAGGGATCGAGTGCACTCTCAGCAGGTTTGCAGATGACACCAAGCTGAGTGGTGTGGTCAACATGCCAGAGGGAAGGGATGCCATCCAGAGGGACCTGGACAAGCTTGAGAAGGGGGCCTGTGTGAACCTCATGAGGTTCAACAAGGCTAAGTGCAAGGTCCTCCACCTGGGTCGGGTATCAATACAGGCTGGGGGATGAAGGGATTGAGAGCAGCCCTGCCGAGAAGGACTTGGGGGTACTGGTGGATGAAAAACTGGACATGAGCCAACAATGTGCGCTCGCAGCCCAGAAGGCCAATCGTATCCTGGGCTGCATCAAAAAAAGCGTGGCCAGCAGGTCGAGGGAGGCGATTCTGCCCCCTACTCTGCTCTGGTGAGACCCCACCTGGAGTGTTCAGCTCTGGGGCCCTCGGTGCAAGACAGACACAGACCTGTTGGAGCAGGTCCAGAAGAGGGCCACGAAATGATCAGGGGGATGGAACACCTCTGCTATGAAGAAAGGCTGAGAGAGTTGGGGTTGTTCAGCCTAGAGAAGAGAAGGCTTTGGGGAGACCTTATTGCGGCCTTTCAATACTTAAAGGGGGCTTATAAGAAGATGGGTACAAACTTTTTAGCAGGGCCTGTTGTGACAGGACAAGGGGGAATGGCTTTAAACTAAAAGAGGGTAGGTGTAGACTAGATATAAGGAAGAAATTTTTTACAATGAGGGTGGTGAAGCACTGGCACAGGTTGCCCAGAGAGGTGGTGGGTGCCCCATCCCTGGAAACATTCAAGGTCAGGTTGGAGGGGGCTCTGAGCAACCCGATCTAGTTGAAGATGACCCTGCCCACGGGCAGGGGGGTTGGACTAGATGACCTTTAAAGGTCCCTTCCAACCCAAACCATTCTATGATTCTTCATAATCTGTGTATACCATATATTTTGTGCCTTATTCACAGGGCGATATAACATTCCTGACCTAATGCTGTACTTTTGTACTTGGGAACCACACACCACATGAAGTGACAAAACATGATTAAACTGTGCTAGAAATCTTTGCGTCAGCAAAAACATTTAAGTTTTATATGTGCAAAACTCTACTCAATAAGCAGCCTAAACCATCCAGTTTGGCCTTCCTACGGTAGATTCCCTTCCCATCCTTGTCGAAGTTAAGAGAAAGTTAAGTTTTTCTGTACCTTTTGTATACATGATAATATTCTATAAAAATAGGTAATTTTCCAATAAAGTACTTCTTTTCAGAATCTTTTCCTCTGAATGACAATCTGCTAGACTGCTATTTATATTACAAATAGGATATAGCAAATCAATAATAAATTTGCAGAACAAAATGTCTTTTCATAAAAAACCCAGACAACTAAAAATGTACTGCATTTTTTCCCAATAAAAATGCATTTCCAAACAAGTCTGAATCATCTGCTTACTTTATAATGAGATCTTTAATAGAAATCATTAATGATCTATAGTTTCTTTCAGGGTTATTCTAAACTTTGAAAGCAAACCTAAAACTGTAAATTTTTCCAGGCTGGGATACGTCTGGAGCACTCTGTTTCATGTCTTCTATCCCGCCTCCAGCCTCCACTAAAACAGATAAAATCTTTCACTTTTGTGAAGGGTTGTGTGGAAGTTAATGGCACCACAGAGAAACGATGGCCTCTCGGATATCTGCACCCGAAAGAACAAGACACTTTTTGTTACGCGTTTCTAAAGCGGAACACTCTTCAAAACTGCATCAGGAGAACAAGGACCACCTCTATCCCAGCACAGCTCCACAGCTTCCCCAAGGCAGTGCCAAACTCCTCCTCCCATTTAATCAGTACTATTTCCACTTCTGCACCATCCAACCATTATAATAAATAATTCACAAATCACTACTCCAGGACAAGAGCATTCTGTATTCACACCCTAACAACGTTTGCGTGCTACCACCACTATGCCTTAGGATGCACCTGTGCCTATTTCCTCCTGTTAATACAGCGCTCTACCTATAGACAACATGGTATAAATGCCGCGTTGCTGAAAGAACTGACAATTAGGATAAGATATTTTAAAACAGTAAGGTACAAACCAGCGCAGAGAAGTATCAGAGCAAGCTTAAATGAATTTCTGCAGTCAGATTATTCAAGGTCATCTTACCAAGATAAGTATCAAGAAAGCCTCCCTTAACTACAACAGTAAAAGCAACATTTTCCTCATAGCAACCTGCATTACACTTGGATTCGCACGCTCAATTACTCAGCGTGCACAGCAGCATGGTGTGCCATAGGATGAGGTGGGAATGTTGTTACAGAGAGCCTGAAACTGTGACTCTCACCACCTTGATTGCTTGTAATGGACCTTTCATTAGAAATTTAAGAACCTGCAGTTCTTCAGCACCGAGTTCTGTAATGGTCTGAACTATTTGTAGGACAGCTACATATTTAAGCAAGCTGTAGAATGCATACATATACAGCCCTTTCAACTACAGGATACTATTTGCTGTTCTGGTTTAGACACTCACCCTATGGCCATAATGATTATTAGATAAAAGCGCTATGTCAACAGGTAAGCTAGGCAGAAAACCTGTGGCTTGACTTCCAGTTCTCAGAAAGTGTGTTACAGAAGTATTTGAACACATCGTACTCATGCTACAACAAAACCCAGTGATGACTCAGATACTTAAGTGACATTTGTAGTTCAAATTAAACAATAAGAAACTTCCATATTGCAATATGTAATCATTAGATTGTGTAATTTACTTAACAGTTGTGTTATGTGGCAAAACTTTAGTTTTGTTTTTTTTTTTTTAACACCATGATATCACTTAAGTTGAAAGTAACTTAAATTTAATGGAAATTCCTTCCACAACCCCCACAAACCCCCAAGAAACCCAAACTGCTTAAATCTCTGTCCTGCAGCCCTTGCTTGTTTGCCTCACCAATAACAACTAGAAGGGATTCAGTAATCCCTGGCTAGGGAGCTGGCAATCTCCATGGCAGAGGCATAGTTAATTCTTGGCCTGAAGACCCAAAACAGTAGTGCATAATAATGGATACTTCAGTCTACGGAATTTCAACATAGGCATTCCATTTTCCATTATTCCTACACTGTAACCTCAAGGAAAGAGAATGACACTAACATGACATGGACTTAAAACCACCGGGTCCTCTCATGACAAGATTACATTAGAGAAACTGAACTATGTTTGCAGATGCTTTATTTTATTCCAATAAATATTTATTCCAGTATCTAGGGGGATATTACATAAGATGCACATTCTCCTGCTCTGCCACTCATTAAGAATCAGAAAAGATTTGTCAAGATTACCTTGCCTCGCTTTGAAAGTATCCACTTGTAATACAAACAGTGCAAATGACAGCAGTTCACAGGTGTCACAGCGAGTGCTTCAGTGCTACTGAGCAGGGCACCCACACGGTCCATGACAAATAGAGGACCATTTCTGCAGTAGCGCTCCTTTGGTCACTGCTGATCAGACATCACAAAGACTGCCTGCTTGGGAACTTGTTTCATTTCATTTTGATTTAAACCTGCCAGACAGAAGCTGGACATTTCATACTACCTTGACCAGGGCGGGGGCAGCCTGTTGAGATGATCAGGTGAAAAATTACGGAAACGGTAACTATTTACTTACTGAGTCTCTGTTCCCAAGAGCATCTCCACCTTCTCTCCTGCGTGGTTACTGAGGACTGCTAGTCTGAAGAGGTGAGCTGCAGAACTCTGCCGTGAGTACAGCATAGTTGAAGCATTCTTTACAGGAGAAGAAGTCAGGTCCTCATTGTCACATTGTTGTACCACCAGCTGGTCCCTTAAAGAATAATCTGTGACATTGTAACTCTCTTCACTGCAGAACAAAGGAGGGAAGAAAAAACCCCACAAGTTTAATGTTTAGCTTTCCATTAAGTATGTCTGGAAGCAAACTCAGTCATAGAATCCACTTTTAACTACATAGTATGGCATGATTCTTCTGACATCTCAGATCCTCATCTTTTCTGTTTGTTTGTTTTTGAAACTACCAATTTTCCAAGGCATAAAGTAGATCAGTTTTTAAACCCTGTGGACTTTCATTTAGTGGCACAGTTAAATGACTTTGATGCTCTTGAGATGGTGTAAGCTCAACTTAACCCCACTACATTTGAGAACAGGCACAGCAATTATATAGAATTGCACTTTTTTCTCCTCCAAGCTTCAAATGAACAACGGACATTAATTTTAGAATGGTATAGGAAAAAAAGTAAAATTTCCCTTCTCCTGTGCCTGTAAAGCTATGGGTATGTATACTGCTTCCAGATAAATGCTATTGATCTTCATTTTAAATACAGGATAATCATCTGTACTCCTTGTCTATCTGCATGTAGAAGGTCTAGTCCAAAAACTATTTTACAATATTCTGAAACATAACCTTAGTCAAATATGAATTTTAAAAATGGGCAAAGGCTTGTCATGCACTATTGCTCTTGCAAAACGCACTGTGCAATTTACCTTTTAGAAAATACTTTGTAAATAAATATACCAACTCTAAGTGATATGAATAAAGATTGCTACATGTGCTTAGTAACTTCCCAAAAGCGACTAGAAAGAATTCTAAGAAATTATGCAAGTTAGAAGCTTTGCTTTCCTTACGGTTGAAACGTAGGTGGACAGGTGGACAAAACTTACCTTTGCTGACACAATACCATGTTTGACACAGAAAACAGAAGACCTCAGAACTACTTATTATGTCAAAGTCATTGAGTGTTGAATTATGCCAAAATGACGTTATGGTAGTTTTCCCAGATAGGTGAAAACATTAGACATCACAAATCAGAACATGAAAGTGTTACTGATTTCAACAACACAAGGACTTAAAAGAAAATATGCACTTTTCCCTGAACAGCAGACTTTTATTTCTAAATGTGAGAATCACTTCAGCTAATCAAAATCATCTTGACAGGTGAAAACAGAGCAAAGACAGGAAGAAGCATGTCTGGACAAGGCACACTGTTACACACCACAGTGCTAGATGGTTGCAGTGAACAGTTACTTCAACCCCCCTATTCTTCAATCCATTACAATGTATTCGTGATGTGCTTCAACTTCAGAATATCCAGAAACCTTAAGCAGCATTCTTCAGCACTCTTATGTGAGTTCAACCATTTATCCTATCTATTGGTTTTGCTACTTACTCATATCAAGGCAATACTGGAAACATATTTTTTTCAAGTGAAAAATAACCATGCATTTCCAAATTTTTGAAGTTGTGAAACAGTTAAAGAAACAGTTAAAAGAATCTGCATCACTTACTCAAGAAATAGCAATTGATCACAAGAAAAGAGAAGCCAGCTGAAAAGGCATTTTTGTTTCCACTGAAGCTTGTGAGCATATTTCCCAGAATTGTCTTACGTGCATTTGCAAGTTTACCAGGATATATCATCAACCCAGGACACTGATAAACTAATTACCTCACAATTTCATGTAAGCTTGTCAACTTTTTTCAGATTTATTTGTTTATTTATTATCCTACACTGGTGCAACAAGATAGAAAAAAAAACCTGCTTACATAGGCATAAAGCCAGTTCTCCCTCCTAGCCCATACATTGCTGCGTTTGTCAAATTTTTCAGTAAATCAAATACATGAAATTTTAAGGTGCAACTATACATGCTCCACCTTAAAGTAAAATCTATTTAAACCTCAGTCTCGAGTGATGAAAAGCTATGCTAGAGCCTCATATTACTATGGTTCATTAAAATAATTTAAATGGAAAAAATACTTGAGAAGATTAATTTTGCTGCCAGAGATATACAGAAACCTAAGCACTGAACTGATACAAATCAAATCCCAAACACCTGGAACTGAAGCAGTCTGAAATGCTGATGGTGACATACCCCTTTCTGGCAGGTGCCAATGAAGCGTATTCTTCCTTTATGGTTGCTCAAGTATTATAAGAAAATGGACAGATGATGACTTAATGTCTGTTGGGATATATTCTACCCATTTTGTGAACTGTCAGAAAAATACCTGCAAATACCTCAGTAGTTAATATAATGGTCTTTATAATTCTTATTTTTAACCCTTTGGAAAAAGAATTGCTAAAACACAACTGAGCAACATTATGACTCAAAACATAAGTTATTGCTGATTTCTGTGACTTATGCAGCATTAGAAGAATTTCTCTATTCAAATGATGACAGGTTTACAGATCATATTGTATTTGTGGATTTTTGTAGATTAATAGTTTCTGCCAGTGCATCTAGTGTAAAAACAAAGTTCTTATTTCAACTGTGTGGGGTTTTTACTTTTGTTCTGTGAATTAAATACTTGAAATGTTGGGGGTTTTTTTTCAGTACAGCTTTGTACATTCTTGAACGATCAACATAGTTCCATTAATATCATGTTCTAATCCTTCTCGCAAGTATTTTTTCTTCTCATCTTCTGTTGAGGAGTTTGGGGGCTTTACAAAGGAAGCAGAAGCAACGACAGACAAGCTTAGTTATATTTATCGTATAGAGGGACCAAAATCACTGTAGCTTGTAAGAAGATGAACACTTTCCTTCCCTGTTTCTTTTTCTCCATGTCTCAAAATGGTACCAACAATTCCCAACAATCCACTGGTGTTTTCCACTCTGAGGGCTGGAATCACAACTCCCCATTCAGGTACCATTGACAGAGGCACAAAACATACCAAAACTGCCAAGAGCACTTTTACAAGAACTTAAAATGGCTTTTAAAACTCTCCACACAGTTTTGATTAACATAGCTTTTGATCAGACTGTTGTTTCCATGTTCCTTAGAGTAAAAAAATTAAAAAGTAAGTAAGTCACATAGGAAATGAGATGGACACAGCAAACTCTTTTAGAGCTCTGTAAAAGTGAAGCCAGGTTAATTATGCTATTAGACATGACTTCTTGGGTTCCAAAGGAGAAAGAATACAGGTTACAAATAGGTTTTGGTCTAATTAAAGGAATTTAACATGAGCACACTGAGAAGCTGGGAGAATCTTCAATATTTCAGCATGTGGAAAGCTAAGTTTTAATTTCCGCACATATAACCCAGGGATGCTAAAAGGAATCTTAATGCAAATGTATTCTGTATGTCCTTATCTTTTGGGAAAGGTGTGCATACAGCTCTTCCCTGAAACATAACAAATTTAAATTTATTGTGATTGTGCTACTGTAGAAAAGCGTAAGTCTTTATGCTTTATGCTCTCTCTTTAAAGAAAGAGAGGCTACGAGAGGGGAGGGAGTACGGACTGTGGATGTAGGTTTCACATTCCCGTAAATCCAGCTCTAGATTCAAAATTCATTCATTTATCTACGAAAAAGATGCTACTTATCACTTGAGGACAATTGTTTCAAGTGCCATCCATAGTAGCTGACGGTTCCTACTGAATAAGAAAAAAACATTTCATATCTAATATTTATCAGCCTCTCTCTCCCTCTTTCTTTTTTCTTAAAATATATACTCTAAAACAGGGACAGGTTTGTTTGTTTGTTTGTTGTGGGGGTTTTGGGATTCCTTTTTTTGGTGTTTTTCATTTTGTTGGTTTTTTGTTTGTTTTTTTTAAAGAAGTCAGTTCAGTATTTTAGTCTAGGCAATCCCTGCTTAGCCAAGGGCAGAACTAGCAAAACCAGCTAGGGATGCTGCTATAGTTATTTGGGAATCTTGCATCTGAAAAAGAAATGTAGTCTATACATTTGCATAACAAATAATAAATGCATTCCTTACTAATTAATCAACTCGTCTATATATTTGCATAACTAATAATAAATACATTCCTTACTAATTAATCAGCAGAGATAAACCTCTACAAATCCTTCCTTATCTCTATTCAACAAAATAGTCTGATTTGAAACTACTAGGCAGTCCTCATCTTTTTACCTCCTATGCCCTCTGCAAGGCCCACAAACTCTCCTCCTTCCAAACAGATAAGGAAATATGCTGATAAAGCTGACAGTGCTGGAGTGAGCAGATGTACATGAACAGAAACTTAATCCGCTCAGCCAGGCAACAGAGTAACAGGAAGGACATTTAACACATTCTTTAAAATTATTGTAATCGGGCAATACAAACATGCCGACATTCATTTTCAGTTTACAGCTGAACTATTTTGCCGAACTTCTATTTAGATTCGGAACATGAAACAACAGGACTATTTTATATCCCTTTGCAGGGAATGCATGCAAATTTTGGAGGCACTTTTATGAAGGCCAAGTATCTATTGATGTATTATCATCTGTTCTAGGCCACCTATACTTTAACAGAAAGCACATGGTCAGTCTTCCTATTCCCTTTACTCTTTCCAGCTGCGCTACTCTGAAATCCTCGGTGTTCCATAGAAGTTGCTTCGCATTTGTGCTTGCCTTTAGTTACAAAATCACCCCTGGCATCTTGAGAAAAAACATGGTTTTGCAAGTAGCTGTGAACAAGTAACATTCCCAAGTAGCAGTGAACCTTTGGGTGATTTCCAGTGTATGAAGTCCAGCTGCGTTCCGCTGTCAAGGTAATCTCAGGAGCTGACAAGCCATACAGCCATTAAGACAGACAGGATTCTAGAAATATCCTTAGGGGACTATGGAAAACAGAATATTCAATAAATGTACACTCATTCAAAAACAGAAGCCTCTCTGGAGTTCACCTGAAATCTTCTAAAAGCATTCAGGATGTAACTGGTGGATTTTCTGAATAGCTGGATAAGGCAGCTATTTAGTGGTATATAACAAAACTTTATTAATTCTAGAGTTCTCCTGAACTCTGCAGAACACAGAGCTAGCTCATAGGCAGCTTTGAGCATTAATAACTAAAATATGTAACCAGATCCCAGGAGGGCATGTGAAATAAAAGGAGATATTTGACTTTTGGTAGAGTTCAAAGCTAGCTGTATCCTATTTTTAGCAGGACCTTGTTACAGTGTGTGCTTCCAAGCCTGCAAAAGGTATCAGAGAAATCACCTCTGTAGCCTGGTCCTCTCCTCTCCTTGGGCAGTCATAAAGTGTCCACTACAGAAACTCTACCATGCCTGGCAACAGACAAATATCTATCTAAACCCAGCAGTTATGCCCATCAGCTGTGCCAGAGAGGTGTGGACGATACTTATACCCATACTTGTGGTTTAGAAGAGGGAGAAAACTGAAAACTCATTATGAAAGAAATACATACAAACATAAAAGTAGTATGTGTATTTAACTAAGTATTCTATATTTTAATACAGCACTAATTTCATTATACTTTGTGGAACCTGGAATAGTTTCTTCACTAGCCCAAGACAAAGCAAATCTCCCAAGCATGACACAAGTAACAACAATTGTACTGTAGTGCATGTGAATCATGAGGCAGCTTGAAAGAACAACTCCGAGACGAATTATATTGCATGTTACTCCTTATGTCAGAATACTACCTTCAAAATCCAATGTCAGCATAAGCTATTGGTTTACTGGTCCCTGTAGTGGATGTCATGGCCAAAATGGTGGCAATTCACAGTACAGCAAGGAGTTAAATAAGAAAAGAACAGAAGCCAGAAAAGGAGCAAAAAGAGAATGGAGTTAGAGAATGAAACAAAAGGGTAAAACACTACAAAAAGCTGAATGAACAACACATTAAATATTTAGGTTACTTGAAAGTCAGTCTACACTTAGATCTTTGCAGAGCATTCCCAACGTTTAACTTCACAAATTTCTAAGTTAACTTCCCAGAGCTACCTAAACAGTCAGAGAAAGCAAGCTGCTCTTCTAGAGTGCAGTTTGGACAAGCTAACTGCTCTCCAAAGGGACCTGCCTTCTGCACTGACTGCACAGGTAACCCTGGAAGAGTACTTAACGCACCTGAAGTTGAGCAGGCCAAACACCATCCAGCTCTTCACTTCATGCCGTAATCCAAATGACATCAGTGTTCACATGAACAAGAACTAATTGATATCTTCCTGTACACCAACCATATAAAAGTTGGCCTTACCACCACAATTTGGACATCCTGACACATGCAGCACTGACTATTCTGTTCAAGGTAACACATTAAAACTTTACAAGTATTAAGAGAGTCTATGGGCTTTTTTAAAATGACAACTAAAAAAAAAAAATCAGATTGTGTCTACACAGCAGAAGGGGCTACAAGAAAGGACCACTGAACCAGAAAAAAGTTCCCAATAAACTAAAAGCTGAGCAGTGGGGAAATGCAGATTTTTATTCATCTCCAAAATCTTGTGTAAAATGACATAGATCACAAGTTCCTATGTCCCTTTTTGGCCTAATCCAAATGGCCAGTCCTGAGTATTATTCAGTAGCCGTTTGCCTTACTTCTTCTAAGGGCAAGTGTGATGAAGCAACTGCCTACCCTGCTGCTATACAGCACACAAATCAGAGCCTAACTGATTACCATGGTATATGCAACACACACAAAAATGGACCGTCCAGTAGCTGACATGGAAAGCATAAGCCTCTGAAGTATTTCATGGTGGCATGAGATATAGCCACACAGCGTCCATTAAAAAGAAAGAAATTTTGGTAGCTAAATTCCATTTAACCTACTTAACAGACGAGAGAAGACAGTTAAACCTTGCAATTTCAATCAGGAGGCAAAACTGTAGCTGAGGAAGATTATGATGAATAAAGCATCATTAAAATTAAAACATAAGAACTCTGGAGCATGCCTGACTATACACCAACACAAGACCTCCCTTTATATTTTTTTATAGCTAAAATGTAACAGTTCTCATTATAAAAAGGTTTCTGGAATGCTTGCTCACTCAGTATTTAAAATGCAGTCCTTCCAATGATGATTCTGACATTTGGAAAGTGTCCCTGAAATGAGGATGTGAGCAGTGACATACGCCATACCTGGTTGGACTAGAATTACTTAACAGTTATCAGCATGACTTCTCTGACAGGTACTGTCAAGCCTGGCCTTTAAGAAGTCAGGACTGAGCCATTCCTGGCTGCGTGCACAAGGTTCTACATATACGGCAAACTGCTCAGACAGGATAGTTGAAGATTAACTTTTGGGTAAAGATTAAACAGCATGATTGGAGCAGTAAGTAATTAGTATTTTCAGCTCAGCAGTGAAGAGTGATTTTTTTAATGAAATGTTAAGAATCTTCTGAAATGCAACTGCTTGAGTAAAAATACAAACATTTAAACTCAATTAGCAACAAATATTTCTGTCTGCTGCTGTGGTGTCCATGGGAACACTGTGGGTGGGAGAACAGATCACCAAAAGCTCAGATATTATTAATAAGCTTATTCACTCGGGCAAAGCATGTGCTTCATGCTCAGAATATCTGGGAGGCTCGCAGAAATCAGTCCTTTTCAATTACATCCATTTGTTTAGGGGGTCTTGGGAGAGTGACTGTGAATCTGATCATTAACATGAAGTATTCTTTAATTTTGGCTTCTGGGCCTATTAAGGACATTTCAATTCCAACAGCTGGAAGCTGTTATAAATCAAAAGCCCCAATGTTTGGATAAGATATGTTGTTACAAAAATCTGATTTATAATCTGGACAACAAGCCATCACATAGGAAACCAATAAACAATGTAACAACACAGATAATAGGTTTTTCACTGTTTTCCCAACTCAAACATTTACTTAGCTACCAACACAATAATATGTTAACAGTAGTCCCATGAGAAAAGAAATGCACTATTTAAAAAAGTGTGATACAATTCCGATGCGCTGCCAAGGGACAGGGGATTTAACAAGGGACTTTCACAGAAACATTTCAGCATAAGCTTTGATAAACACCGAATCCCAGAAACGTGCTCACATCAGTAAGATAGATGGGGAGAAATCTATTCACTTTTCTTCCCATCTTTATGAAAAACCCCTTTCACTTAAATATTTTTCCTGCTCCATTTTCATTTAGCTTTCTCTTAGCTTAAATATTAGCATTTTCTTCCCAGATTTTGTATTATACCTCATTCCTCAGAATTTCTTATTTAAATTATGAATTTGAAGTTTCTCAAAAGGGTTTCTTTTAAAAACAGCCGGTATTTGGCTTAACTAGCCAACCCAGATGCAAAAATCACTGCTCTTCAAAACAGTTTTTAGTCTTGGGAATAAGGTTTATCTGTCAAGTATTATCTAACCGCAACAGCAGAGGATGTAAATTCCATTCCATTCAATTCAATTATTCTAAACCTCCTCTCAAATCTAGTGATAAAAATTTAAATGGAGCCTGCTAGAAGTGGTCTCCCATACATCATTCTCAAAAACAACCCAACTGTGGAAAGCGTGGAGGGGAATGAAAATTAACATTTCTTTATCCTTCCAAAACTTCTCCCTTTGCTAAGGTATCAAGGATGAACTTTTTAATTTGTCTGACAATTTGGAATTTCAATTGCATTTGCCAAAAATATATCCTGTTTAACAAGTGGTTACTCGTCATATCAAAACACAGTCTGGTCGAGCAATATTAGAAACTCAAATATCTACATAATTCATTTACTCTCTCAGACGCGGCATATTAAAACATAAATGGCTTCACAAATGTCTACTGGACTTAGAACATGTTTAGTCCATATTTCCTCCTGTTTTATGATGCAACTTTACCAGGTCCACTTACTGCTCTTTGAACCCCCTTCATTCCTTCAAACAACCAAGTGGCTAGAAAATACGTAAAAATGCTGTGGATGCAATCCAGTTTGCCGTTCCGAAGCCAGAAAGCTTTGGGTTTCATTTCCCCTAGGGTGAGGCACACACAGCAGCCACGATAATTTTAGAAGACAACGGTAACTCAGCTGTTCTCTCTGTGATTCAAGGAGTTGAACACAAAGGCAATTTTATATTGGTGAAGTTCTTACCTCTTCTTCTTGGTGATAATGAGGACATCATTAAAGAGGAAGAAGTACACCTGCTGTTTAGAAGTTCTTTTAGAAAAAAGTCCAGTGTCTTCTACATACGCTGTTAATTCACCCCTTTTCACTAACCATCGTGAAGAAGAAACCAGTGGAAATGGCTACAAAGCAAGAAAACAACATTTTAATCCTTCAAAAGTAGAGATTTTTAAAAAACAGATAACAGAGTATTATATATTTGGGGGGAAAAAATGCTTGAATAAACTCAAAGTTCAGAGACCATGAGTACAAGCACAAAACAGAGGTTATCAAGGTTTAAGGTACCTTCATAATTCATATAATACACAAGTAATAGCCTGCAAATACTTAAAAATCACTCATGCACATGACCCAATTGCTCATCTAAGACAAAAATGAACAGATTCGATTGGTCATACTTGGGATGGAACAGACTACGCGAGATCTGCTAAGGAGATTAAAAATAAAAAGACTGTCTTCCAGGAATATGTAAGTTTTTGTACAGTAAGCAATCACTCTTTACGCACGTATGAATATTGAATCTTGCTCTAGGTACCTCAAAGCTTTTCCACCTAAACAGTTGGCAAGAAGAGCTTCAGTTTCTCATCTCAAACATGAGGGCTACTGCACATTGCGTTTCATCACATCCCTAAGGCCAGTTAAAATGATGCTGTGTCTTCTTTCTAATGGTGTGTTCTGTACCACACACAGAACTAAAAAAATGTAAAATCCTTTAACAGAGAAATACACTGTACAATCCGCTTTGAAATACACTGTGAGTATATGAAAACAGACATAAACAGATGATGTTGGCAGCAAACAAGATTAGATTGGTCCTAATGCAGTACTGAACATTATTATTGAGATGTTCAGAGCATGCAGACCTTTTTTCCATGAAAAAGCAAAGTGCATGAGGAATGCCAGAAGGCTTACCAATCAAATGTGGTAAAATCCATTTTCTACTCCGTAAGTAAATGGAAGTTCCAACACAGCTCTGTGAAAGAATGTGTAAAGCAGTATGCGATATGTAGGGTTTGAGTAAGTTGTCCACTTTAATGCCAAAACAATACAGTTTGTTCATGCCATCATAAATTCACCAGTGGTTTGAAAGACATGTCTGAAAGTTTTTAGAGGATGTCCCTTTACGCATCCACTTAAGAAAGGCCGTATTAATAAATAACTGTCCTTCCTCAGGATGAACTTTAGCTTTTTTTTCCCCATCTTCCATTTTGTCAGAAAAGGTGACTTATATTTGACCACAATTGGTTTGTAATTTGCTACTGCAGCTGAAGGGGACGGGCAGATCAGACTGCTCCAGGCATGCTGCTATAACGAGGCGTGGACTTGAGCTCCTTAGAGCACCCTCTCAGACCAGACATGACAACTCACTGAGCATATGTCACTGGTTCCAAGAAAAGTCAGTCAGGTTTGCATAAACCTTCATCCCTCAATTTATGAGGTATAGGTAGAATCATTCTTCCAAGGTAATTACCATACCAAACCACTTAGGTTTTTTCCCTTGATAGCAGGAAGGGAAGTTTTCCAAGTACTTGCTGCTCTCAGAACCTCTTGAAATATCAGACAGTTACCTGTCCACTGTCATTGCTTTATCTAAGATGGATAGTTAAGGATACTATAGCTCCTCTTACTCTTTATCTAGTTGATGTAGTTGAACTCTAAATGTTCTGTAGAGCAGGATCTCCATTTCTCTCTAGGGTGAGGACCAACATCTGCAACAGCTGAAGCAAGCCAGAGAGGATCATAGCTGCCTAATCTGAAGACCAGCCTTTATTAATCCAAATTATTCCCAACTGTGGGAGAAATAGACACCATAGAAGGACCTTTTGTTTCTCTGGGCCATGAACATGAAGGGAGATGTGAGACTGCACGTCCTCGTCATAAAGAGAACAGATCATCTCTGAAGCTGTACCATGACATACGATGCCAGAAAGACAAAGGTCCACTGCAGTGCTGGCAGCTGTCCCACTGACCAGGATTCCTCAGTCAATGATCTCACTGCTGCTAGCACTGAACCAAGCAGAGCTGCTATGTGGGAATGTTTCTCCAATGGCACACAGCGGACAGGTTCTTTCTGCCAGACTGCGCTATCACTAGGCAATATTCTAAGCAAAGATACTGACCTCCTCCATAGGTTTCACCCCTCATCACTAGAATGACCTGTTTGGGTCCTAACTTGAATACTGAAGATGCTGGTACTTTTGTCTCTGTGCACCTTTGGGTATTGCCCACGTGCTGGACAGAGCATCTGAAGATGTCTGGTACCTTCCCTCTGCTGGTTCCAAAAACGATTAGGCTCAGTGGGTAACTTCTGCAAGCGAAGCCTGAACTGCACAACCTGTACCTTACAGCTCCTCCAGCAGCAGGTACATCATACCACTGGAAAAGAAGAGGCATCCACTTTGCCCATGCTTACTAATATTTGTACCTAAGATCTGCCGCAGTAAATGGGTGCTTACTGCTAAATTTTATGGAGCATATATATTTTTCTTCATCCCAAGCAAAATAATCAAATTTTTGCTTCTACTTTAAATGTAACTGGCTTTCTGCTTATCAAACTTCTGTACTTGCTTTGCTGTTGTTCAAATTAATTATTGGTCTTGCATGATTAGACTAATGAAGACAACTGCTTTTTTTTCCACTCATTTAAAGCACCTTTCACATGCTTGTAAAAACTATTTCTTCATTCAGCTTGTCAGCTGTCTTCTTCATTCTGCACGGGTTGTTTTTTCAGATCTTTTGATCACTTTAGCTGCTCTTTACTGAACTAATTTCAACTTGTCCATACTTGCCCCATAGTGCTATGCCAAAACAAAAATACAGTGCTTTGACAGTGATCTTGCTTTTGGAAGAATAAAATATTAAGTCCCTAATTTTACATGCAGCCACCCTGTGTTTCTGACTTTTGAGGTATGATTTTACAGTGACTCTGAAGTGGCACACAACAAAACAATTATTCCAAAGATGCTTTTTCTGCCACCATGCAGTACCACAGAACTCTCTCCCCCATGCTTTCCGTTAGGAGGTAGTGTACTAATGGCAGATGAAGGTTGCTCAAAATCGCAAAACACAGCAGTCCTCTGGAACTACTGCAAATTGTTACAAATTAAAGAAGCCTTAAACTTTTTACCTTGCCTCAGACGTGATTTATGTCCCAATATACCCAGAACAAGCAGTAATGAATACCTACCCTCACCTGGTACTCGAACACAGACATCCACTGAACAAAACCTTTGCTATACTGTAGACCTACATGAGGGACCTTTCAAAACCTGTATTCTTTCAAAGTGACTACTGATAAATACCAACATATTTCATTTATCTGATACGATTCCCAGTATTTTTGCATTCATGCTACCAAGATAGTACTTGTGTATTGAATCTTGACGAAATTCCCTTCGGACATTTCTTCCAAATTAATCTAAGCTCACATATTCTGTTTTGATTTATATGACTTTTTTGCAGGTTTCTAGTTTTGTATTGCCCATTAGTTTATTAAATCCATTTTCTACTGTATTCTCCAATTTGGAAATGCAGAATTTTGTTTCAAATCCATATTTCACAAATAGATTTTTATCCAAGTCTCTGTTAGTGAATCAGAGTAAATCAGTCTGGTTACAAATCACTGTAACTTCAAGTTCATTAATTCATGTTGTCACTCATCTCAGATCAGTGGCTAACTTAGACTTCTATCAATCCAACTTTCTCCTAGCACTGTATCATATAATTCTTCTTATGGACAGTCATTTTATTAAATATACATCATTAAACCTCACAGGTTATGAAAGCCCAGTTTAGCTCAGTACTCAGATATGACACTCCCAGAGGAACTCCCAAGTTCCATCACTGAAATCAAGGAAAGTTTTGTATCGACATTCAGCTTTAAAAAAAAATCTGGCTTACTTTCAGTCAAAACTCTGCTGGTTCAGTACCTTCAAGTAACATGAAAATCAATTTTTTTTTAAACAAATGGCTTTTATGTTCCTTGAAATGCAGTAATGGTTCCGTGTGACAATACAGGAATGTGAAACATCAGACCATTCCCTAACAGTGACACCATCGCACTTTTTGTGACTTTACAAAATTGAAAGACTTTGGACTAGATGGTCCTTCAGCACCGAAGTCAAACAAGTTTGTTTCATGAACACAAAAGTGTGTTTGCAGAAGAAAACCCCACAACTTTTCTGGTGCTAAAGATGAAAAATTTAAAATAAAAAATTCTGAATCTTCATTAAAAACTAAATTCTACAGATTAGCCATGTACAAAAGTGACGTAATATTTCAGCAGCTTCTCTTGTACTCCCATGAAATGCTCTACAGTTACATCTAACAAAATAATGAAGTTAAACAAAAATCCCAAAACACTCTATGAGGTTGAGCAAGAACAGAAATAGTTTACCTAATTTATAATGGTTATAAAACAGAATTATAGCACCAAGATGATTGTTTTACAGACAAAAAGTACTTTAAACATTTCTATGTGAGGATGAGCTAAAAAGTCCTCTAATCTGTGCTCCAAGTGAGTTCATTACATTTTCCTAACTGACTATATTCCAGAGGCAGCTTTTTACTTTCATATTAATTTTTCCTTAATTGCCAAAAGGGTACATCATGTATACCATGTCCTTTCTATATAAAACAAGCTGTCAGAACTTAAAATGTATTGAAACTTGGCCAAAGCAGTCTTTTATACGCCAGCTGGCAAGCTCTCAAACCACAGACAAGGTCTAAACAACTAAGTGGTTATATTTAAGATGCACAAAGGAAAAAAAACACTTGCATAAAAATCACAGAAAAACAAAATACACAGAGTTGCTATTACTCCCATGAAACTAGCGAGAGCTGCTAGTTACAGCATGTACAGGGAAGAATTACACAGGGCCTCTCGCATCTGCAAAGTCGGGATCGACAGCATGCATCCTCTTCCCATGGGGAAAGTAAGAGACTATAAACCATTTAAGCACTTAAACACTTCTGTAGATTTGAAAACTATGAATAAAACCGCAAAGCAGATCGCCCAAGGACTTTAGACTATCCAAAATGCTATTTTAGACTATCCAAAGACTTGAGACTATTATCCACCATTGTTAGCAAATGTAGTGATGTCACTTGTTATGAGATGGTTTATTTATTGTTGTTGTTTTAAGTAAATATTTTTATTATTCTCTCTTTTTAGTCAAAGTTTGAAAATAAAAATACTGCGGAGAAGTTGCAAAACACCTTTCTGGAGACAGCATTTCCTCAAAGACTGACCAAGATCCTTTAAAGAACTGTTGTTTCAAAAACATGAACATCCACTTACTACACATATGTAATATGGGATATGTAGTATCCCATATGGGATATGTAATATCCCATTACTACATATATGATAATAATAAAAAAAATCTTCCCACAAAAGAATACTCATTATGTATAATTACATGAGACATTACTTATAGAAATGGTATTTTAACAAACATTGAATAGAAAAAAAGTAAATATACGTGAAAAAATATCTTGAAAATACAATAAACCCCCTACTATGACTATGTCTGCTATTTTTTCCTACCGAAAAGACTAATTGTAGCAGGTTTTTTTTTTAGTAACAGCCTATATTGTATTTTCAGTACTAGAAAGAAAAAAATTTGGAATATCTCAGTATCCTAAGAGTCTTTAAAATTATTTGAGGGTTAACAGCACCTGTACTAGCAAAACAAAAACTTGGGATTAATAAAGTGAACTGTATTAATAAAGGGGTAGTTTAGCTTAAGCAATTTCACCTACACTGAAGTCTGCTGTCGCACAGCTTGCTGTTCCAGGCAGGTATCATACGATTTTGGTTGCACATCCGATGCTGCCAAATGTCCTGCTTGACTAACCTGATCTCCTTCTATGACAAGGTGACCCGCTTACTGGATGAGGGAAAGGCTGTGGATGTGGTCTACCTAGACTTTAGTAAAGCCTTTGACACTATCTCCCACAGCATTCTCCTGGAGAAACTGGCTGCTCATGGCTTGAACAGGCGTACTCTTCACTGGCTAAAAAACTGGCTGGACAGCCAGGCCCAAAGAGTTGTGGTGAATGGAGTTAAATCCAGTTGGCAGCCGGTCACGAGCGGTGTTCCCCAGGGCTCAGTATTGGGGCCAGTTCTGTTTAACATCTTTATTAATGATCTGGATGAGGGGATTGAGTGCACCCTCAGTATGTTTGCAGATGACACCAAGTTGGGTGGGAGTGTTGATCTGCTTGAGGGTAGGAAGGCTCTGCAGAGGGACCTGGACAGGTTGGATGGATGGGCCGAGGCCAACTGTATGACGTTCAACAAGACTAAGTGCCGGGTCCTGAACATGGGTCACAACAACCTCATGCAACACTACAGGCTTGGGGAAGAGTGGCTGGAAAGCTGCCTGGCGGAAAAGGACCTGGGGGTGCTGGTCGACAGCCAGCTGAACATGAGCCGGCAGTGTGCCCAGGTGGCCAAGAAGGCCAATGGCATCCTGGC